TGGTCCATAAGTGCCGCCTCGTTCCACTGCAGCTCCTGACAAACCAACTGAAACGTAGCAATGTAGTCTGTCAGCGAACCATGCCCCTGTCGCAACTCTCTCACCTGACGGTTTGCAGTCTGGGCCATAACTGGGTCCTCAAACATGGCCTTGAGTTGCTGGCAAAACTCTGCATAATTGTCCAGCAGCTGATTGGGCTGGGTCAGCAGGGGTGTTGCCCAACATGCTGCCGTTCCTGTCAACAGGCTTAGCACAAACCCCACCTTATCCTGGTCAGTGGGGAAATCCTCCGGCCAAAGGCTCATACATAACTGGCACTGGCCAAAGAACAATGTGAATCGTGCCTGCGAGCCATCAGACTTGTCTGGCACTGGAACAGGATTTCTACGGCGTGGCTGAGCTGCTTGCATCTGTGCAATCTGTGCAGTCAGGAGGGCCACCTGCTGTTTTAGCTGATCATTTTCCGCACGGAGCTGATCCATGGTTGCCCTACTTGGTCTGGAGGAGCAATTAGGAGTGGGCCGGGAACAAAATGTGATGACCCAGGGCCTCGAACGGAGGCAGAGCAATTAGCTGGTCAGAATAATTGTCTTTGTAAGCACTGCCAACGTTCACCCAACAGCCCCCACATATGCTGGCACAAGTTCAATAAAACAGTCAACGGAGTTCAACAGTTCTTTAAAGTAAAACAGATAACAAAGTATGATCTTTTCAATGCCCAGCTTGCCTGTAATCTGCAAACTGCAAAACTGAAGACAGCAAGGAAAACTCAGCAGGAAACAAACTTGATCCAAGATACAAAGAGTCCAGGTACAAGAGTTCACGTTTGTTCCCGGCAAATGCCCCATCCCACAGCGTCTCCTTAAATGCCTACTCCCCAGGTGTGCCTTGTAAAGTAGGGCGTGATGCTCTCCTCCCGAGCAAGTGAGCCTGTCTCCGTTGTTCCCTCCTCCTCTCTGCTCTCCTTGCTCTGGGATCTGGTGGGGAGGGGCCTTGGTCCTCGCCTGAGCTCTGCCTTCCCTGTTCCAAACTTGAAGGGCCCTGGCCTGCTTCAGCCTGCTCCTCCCCACAGTCCTCCAAAGCCACAGACACCCCCTCCTGAGCCTCAACAGGGAACTCCATGTCGTCCTCAGAGTCAGGCTTGGATGGAGGCATGACAGTGTGTCTTACTGGCAGGCAGGGCAGGGAGTGTGGTCCCACCAGGGCTCTTTACCTGGTCTGACACCTAATGATTTCAGTGTGCCTCCAGTGTGGCTTACTGGTAGGCGGGGGGTGAGAACTAGGCCTGCTGGGGCTCTTTACCCAGCTTATCACCCAGTGATTTTAGTCTCTTGGTTAGCAGCAGTTCTCTCCTCTGCAGCATCCACCTTCATCGCCACTATTGTGTAGTGGGCTTCAGTAGGCAAGGAGCGACCAGCATAGCTACAACATTATTTATTGACTCAAAGTAGAACTGGAGAACTGCAGGCAATTGCCTGTAATTTATACTCTGAGCCCACAGGGCCTTAACCAATCACAATATTTGAAAAACCTGCCCAAATATGAATGTTCAAAGTTTCCCTCCAAAACAGTTGGAGTTAACAGTCAGGGTCATCTAAAGGTTAGTTTCATTTTAGCTTCACAAGCAGTTGGAGTTAAGTTAGTTTCACTTTAGCAGGGATTAACACAACTTTATATATATTCAATACATAACAGTTACCATATATAAAATCAATTTTCCTTTAATCTTTTCTAATTGTCTGTCCATAAGTCCGAATAGAAAGAGTTCTGACTTTTCTTAATTTTTTAAAAGATAATAGATCTTTCTATTTTCCTTGTATCATCGTATGTATTCAAAATTTTCTGACCTTTTTTTAGAAGTCTGCCATGCATTGTAAAATGTCTCTTCATTTATTCCCCCCACATTTAAATACTTGAACTATACATCTTTGATAATTTCCCAGATGTCATATACCAACAATACCTCATTTTATAGGAGTCTTCTCTTAAACACTGTGAATTTCATCTCATTTCCCTTTATTGGCTCTTATTTATGTAGCTGTGTATAAACCAAAGCTGAATCCATTTTATCATGCAATCCTTAACTTGTACCTCTTCAGTTTCAAATCTTAACAAATATTTATACAGTTTTGCAATCACTTGCTTATCATTAATATAGTTCATTTTCAAATTCTGTCTTGTGTTGTCTGTGTTAAATCTTTTGTCTATGTTAAGCCTTTCTCTTAATTGTTCATATGAAAACTATTGAAACTGTATTTCTCTGCAACCAGTTGTTCTCTGAATTTAATATTAATTGTTCCTATATTAATAAATCTTGACATATTAACTATGTCACTTACTATGGCACTTCTCACATTTTAAAAAAAAATCTGCATTAACTTTAACTTTATCATACTCTAAAAATCCATGCCTACCAAATCTCAGGTTGTGTTTTTCTAATTCTAACTTTTTTAAAAAAATTTCAGCAACCCCCACTGTTTCATCAAACCAAATCACAGGCCGTGAAATACAATTTAAAATCAGATAATATTAAAACTTTTTTGTGTGTCTTGAAGAATTTTAGATTTAACCCTTGGTTTCTTATCAAGCCATATAAATCAGAATATATCTATTTTGCCATTGCTTAAAAGGTGCATCATTGTTCAAAATGGGTATTATTTGAAATAGTAGGGACAGGGTGAAAAACATATTTTAGAAGAAGAACACATTCTGCCTGAGTTGAAAGTGGACTTAAAAATAGCAGGCTGCAAGAATGATGTGGTAAAGATCTTATACTGGACATAACAAAGAAACTGGCTGATGTCTTAATAATTAAGAACGTCCTGCAAACAATAAGCCAAGAGTGACCTAGATAATTGTTCTATATTGGATTTTAAAAAGAGGTTTGTTAAATTTGTGAGAATGTTGTAAGAAGGGATAAAGAAATAATGAAAACAGGTTCTACAACATTATTTGAATGGATTAATGATTAGGTATAGGAAAACACCCTGCAGAATTAAAAGAGGGATCAATTTAGAATCCCTATGTAGCCACAAGCAAACTAAGTTCAACCTTGCTTGAATTCTTTGTTTTGCAAATTTTTATTAATTTTCAAATAGACATATAAACAAATATAAATGTGGTGCATTTCATTAAAAAATAAAAAGAAAACCTAGTCAATATATTTTCAGAAATGATCGGCGGTCCCCCCCCTGCATCCCCCCTCACTCCTTCAACCTTCCTACCTTCCCTCTTCCTTCCTCCCCTCCTACCCACACCTCTCTCCTCCTTCCTCCTTTCCAACTATCCTACACATCCCATCACCTTCTTTTCCACCTCCTTCGGATGCAGTTTAGGGGTACTAGC